CCACCTAAAACAAAAACATTTTGGTCACATTATGCCACTAGGAATATATGAAGGAATATGGCTCAAGAGTCACTATATAATGAGGAAAGGTAATAGTTTGCTTGCTTGGCCATACATCCCAATATAGACATGTGTCTTGATCCATACCCAAAGCCAAGGCTGCAGTTACACAACTACAAGCTTTTGTAAGTGGATCTTCAGCAGACTGGGCAAAATGGTTAGCAGTGGGGGTAGAAGGGGCACATGCTCTGATGGACTGGTGCACATGGAGCTGTACAAATTATGCAATTTGAATGAAATGCAGTTGTTCTGCTCTATTCAGCCCTGGTCAGCCAGCATATGGAGTCCAGTTTTCAGTTCTGGGTGCCAAGCAAGTTTCTATGAGTAATGATTGAAAGAGGCTGTAATGCTTAACCCAGATAAGAAAATGAGATTACATATATCAAAAAGGGTGCCATCAAAAAGTTGGAAAAGACTGATTCTTTCTTATTCCAAACAGTAGAATTACAGTCAAAGGTTGGAAATTGCAGAATAGTATATTTTGGCTAAATATTAACAGAAATCTCCTTTTTCTCAATCAAACTGCCTGCCTCCAGAGCCAGTGGGCTCTCCCTGACTAGAAGTATTTTCACAAAAGTTGGACAGCCATCCAGTAGGGCTATGGTAGTGGGACTCAAAACTTCAAGTCCCATAGTAAGTATAGGGTTAGACTGGATGATCTCTCATTAATAATCCTTTTAATTCTAGAAACGGAGTAGAGCTAGGGGACAGCAAGCTTGGTTTGGATCTGCCAATTTCTCCCCCTAAATGCACTGGCTAGCTATGTGCAAGTTATTTCTTCACTCTCAGCATTTTGAGTGGAAAATGGTGACTTTTGGTGAACAAGTTGGGACACAGATGCCTCAACGAGACAATCAGCATAAATCACAGTGTACACCTAAAGTATTTTTCATAAGAAAATGTCGAGTGCACATTTTAAAACCACTGGGTGACACAAAGTTGGGGGAGAAGGCAAAAGAAAAGCAGCAATTTTGAAGGACAAACACCACTGGCTTAGCTTAAGGATAAATGAATGATTATCAGAGACATGCCCCCTTTTCTACCAATTATGGGATCACGTGCAGCAATGGGGCATAGATACAGAAGAGCAAAATGCGGCCACTGCTCCTTCCTAAATAAGATTTCTTCCTGGTCTCCATGAAATTTATGTTTATGTCCCAAAATTTTAACATTGCAGCAAACTTCAGTTGAAGTTTAGAAACTTAGAAATACAGAGACATACAGTCGTGTTAAAGATAAAGAGTCACTGTGGTGTAGTGGTTTGGGTGCTGGACTGTGACTTGGAGATCAGGGTTCAAATCCTGACTCAGCCATGTAAACCCACTGAGTGATCTTGGGCAAGTCACACTCTCTGGGCTTCAGAGGATGGCAATGGCAAACCCCTTCTCAGGAAAGTTGCCAAAACGATCCCATGATAGTTTTGCCTGTCCTGTCAGACTAACAGGAGTAGACAACCTTTCCCCTTTAAGGGCCGAGGGACTTCAGCTCCAGAAGCCTCAGCCATGTTGGCCAATAGTCCCATGTTGGCCAATAGCTCCTGGGATTCTGGGAACTGAAGTCCCTCGGCCCTTAAAGGGGAAAGGTTGCCTACCCCTGGGAAATATCAGTATGCAAACGGATCTTGCAGCACTTTTGAGACTGAGGGCGTTTTCACACGGGGCTTTAGGAGGACGCAATCCTAC